AGGGAAGGCTGTGCTGCGCGGATTTGGCGATGAAGCGGGAAAGTGACGCGAGCATCTTGTTGAGGGACTATATCACTTTTTTCGATCTCGGCGTTGCGATCTTAGAAAATGCCCGACACTTGTCCGGGTTTGCTTCGATCTCCCGCTCGGTAAGGTAGAACCCGAGGATCATCCCCGACGTACTCCGAAGGTGCATTTTTTTCGGGTTGAACCACATCCTGCATCCCCTCGCGGTCTCGAATACTTTCCTGAGGTGATCTGTGTGATCGACCTCCAATCAGGATTTGACAATCATGTCTTCCATATAGACTTCGAGCATGTCGCCGATTTCTCCTCGGAAGACCTTGTTCATCATCCGTTGGTATGTGGCGCCGGCGTTCTTCAGGCCGAAGGGCATTACATTGTAGTAGTAATTGCCCGACTCAGTCATGAAAGTTATGCTCTGTTTGTCGGCCTCGGCCATGGGTATCTGGTTGTACCCTGAGTACGCGTCCATAAAGGACAGGATTTTGAAGCCCATCGAGTGGTCGACTAGCTTGTCTATGTTGGGAAGGGGTAGGCGTCCTTGGGATATGCCCGGTTAAGATCCGTGTAGTCGACACACATTCTCCATTTTCCATTATTTTTCTTAACGAGTACAACGTTGGATAGCCAGGTTAAATACCGGGCTTCTGAAATAAAATTTTCCTCTAGGAGGTCTTTTACAGCTTTTTCAGCCGCCGCCGACTTTTCGAGGGACTGCCTACGCCTACGTTGAACTACGGCCCTAGCGGCCGGGTTGACGGAGAGCTGGTGGCAGGCGACCTCGGAGTCGAGGCCGGGCATCTCTGTGGCGCTCCGGGCGAAGAGATCGACATTCTCCCGGAGGCATGCTTCTAGTTGTTTCCTCCCGATGTCGGACAACCCCGCCCCAATCTTCACGGTTTTCGTTGTGTCTGCCCCGAGGGTTACGAGCTCGAAGTTTCCGTCTGGAATGGGGCGCGTTTGGTAGGAAGGCTGCCCGTTGGTTTCACCGGATTCGCCCTCGTGGGCCAGCTCTTCGGTGAAGCGGCAGTCGAGGTCCACAGCATCGACGTGATCCTTTGGTTTGATCTCCCGGGAAGGAGGGGTCCTGGTCATTTTTGTCGGGGGCCGATTGTGTTAAGACCCTTCATCGCTGCACCGAAGCATCGTTGGGTGGCTTTGATATCTCCATTGAGAGTGACAACGACTCCAAGTCTGGTGTAGTACTTCATCTTTAGGTGGACGGTTGATGGCACCGCAGTGAGTTCAGCCATGGTCGTTCTGCCCAGGATGCAGTTGTATAGCGAAGGGCATTCGACGACTAGAAAACGGACGTTGATTTCTCTGGATGTTTCCTTCTCCTCGAATGTGACCTTGAGCTCCACGTACCCCCATGGTCTCGTGGTCGTCCCGTTGAAGCCTTGTAGATCCGAGCCTAGGTACGGGGACAAGTTGGATTGGTCGAGCTGAAGTGTCGCGAAGAGATGGGTGTACATGATGTCCACTGAACTCCCCCCGTCAACCAAGATGTGTCGGACGTCGAAGTTAGCCATCTGCGCCCGGATCAGTAAGGGGATGTTGGAGTTTGGGGCTCCCCCTGGGAGTTCCTCGAGGTAGAAGGTGATCAGGTTGGAACGGCCTCGGAATTTGTCGAGCGTGCTCATCTTGCCAGAGTTGTTGCTGATAAGCTCGTCGAATTTCCGTTTCACTGAGCCCACGGACAACTTGCTCGGGTTTCCTCTGGAGGTGACCATTGCCCTTGGGAAATACTCCCACCTGCTGGTGGGGAGCATTGGCTCCTCGGATAGTCCGATTTCAACGGGAAGGCTGAACTCCCTGAGGGCAAACCAGTCCTCAGGTCGGCTGATGCTGAGGGCCACCTGCAGACCGGACTCGCCTTCTGGGGGAGGGAGGTCCTCGACTCTTTTAGCTTCAGGGGCCTCCTGCCGCGGGGGCTCTCCTCCTCGGGTGTATCTTTTAAGGTGTCCATCCTTGATCAAAATCTCGATCACGTCCTTTTGGTGGATGCAATCCTCTGTTACGTGATCGTGGCTCTAGTAGAATCGACAGTATTTTGATTTGTCCATGTTGGCTTTAGTGGGCGCCGGTTTTGGAAAACGGACCCCTCCCGGGACAAACTCCGTTTTGGCACATTCTGCCAGTATGCGCTTGCGGGAAGCGACCAACGCGGTGTATTCCGTGAACCGTCCTGCTGGGCCCCGCAGTTCGTGGGGTTCTCGGGGGCGGTCATCCCATCGTCGATCTCCTCATCGGTGGCTCGAGGCTCCGTCGTCTCTGGATCCGTGGAGGGTCTCTCTGTCCCTGGTGTCATGGGCGGAGTTGGCAGCTTGCGTTTCCTCGAATCGGATGTAATGGCGAGCCCGATTGAGGAAGTCTTGGAGGGAGTCTGGCCGATGGATGGCCATGGCCTCGTAGAATTTGGAGTCCCGGTACAGACCTTGCTCTATCAGGTAACGCTTCATCTCATATGAAGTCGTTACTTACACTGCCTCCCTCGTGAACCTCTCGATGTAGTTCCTGAGTGGTTCATCGGGGGCCTGGAAGATCGCGCCTAGCGCGGCTTCGATCTTCGGGTGGCGCTTGGACGCCGTGAAATGTCGCGAAAAGAGGTCCTTTAGGACCCTCCACGATGTGACAGACTCCGGCTCTAAGCTCTTGTACCATGTCATAGCGCCTTTCCGTAGGGTCGTCGGGAAGAGACTGCATTTGGTGGCTCCTCGGACGTTACGGTAGTCGAGCATAGCCTCGATATCTTCCAAGTGATCATCCGGGTCCGAGGTGTCGTTGTATGTTGAGAGCATCGGTGGCTTTTCCATCCTGTGGGGGATGAGAGTCACCATGATCTCCCGAGACAGGGGGGTCCGGTAGTCGTCCTCGTCACTGATAATCGGCGACGGAGGAGGTGAAGGCCCGTGTCGCAGACGAGGTTGATTTCGAACCCTCAGATGCCTAACTGGGGGTTCTGTCCTCGTCGTCCTGGGCTCCTAGGCTCGCTTCTCTTTCCTGGTCGGTGACCTTGTTCGTTTCTTGGAGACAGTGGGTTGGGGCCTCTCCAGCTGTGGTCTGCGATTCCGTGGACGAGGTGATGGACTCCTCGAGTTCCCGTCCTGCTCTTCCCGCGGAGGGGAGTGGGATGGGGCTTCGTGATCGAGCGCGCCAATTCGCTGATTCTGCTGGAACAGCATCTGATTTGTCTGGTTGATGACCGCAAAGAGGGCGACCATCGTCGGGTCCACGCCGACCGGAGTAGGGATAGGCTGGAAGGGGAGGCAGCCTGTTCGTCCCTGGCGTCGGTCTCACCTAGTTGAGATGTCCCAATGTGACCGTTACGTTTGGCGAGCGGAGCGATAGAGGAGTTATGTACGGCGTCATCGTGGCGCGGGCTAGTCATGATTCAGAAAGGTTGAGACGAAACTTTGGTTCTCTGCTCGGAGGAATGGGAAAGTTTATGTTCCCACAGACGACGCCACTGATCTGACCTGATCAGAAGGGAATCACTGGACTACCACGCGTCTTTGACTTCCTGCCTGTTCACCGGTGTTGAAGGGGAGATGAGGGATGTACCTGCAGGACACTCCGATGCCAAAGTAAGGAATTGGACAGAGTGAGAGAAAATACAGAAAGTAGGTTGAGAAGAGAATACCTGACCCTCTTGTGAAAGATGATATTTATAGCGAGACCTCAGCGCAGGGCCAACGGTCATTTGAGTTGGGCTGGATGGCTAGGCCCAACCCAAGTGACTGCTAGGGCTTACGTGGCGTAGTGAAGACCAGAGCATGGTCTTCGTCCTAGTTCAACTGCTCTGTGATCTCTGGAGAGTGGGTTGACCTGCTCTTTCGGAGGTGGGCAGTTGGTCGATGACGTGTCCCCGTGGAGGGGGGCACGTGAAGAACGTGTGAGGCACGTCTTTCTGCCCGACGGGAGAACCGTCCTGCTCGACGGGAAATGCCTGGTCGACGGGAGCCTCGTGCTCGACACAGATGAGGGGGACTCATTTGGACCTTTCACCAAGTATAAGTGGGTTGGGCGTTCTCGGTCAATTGGGGGCCCAAGCCAGAACAGTAATATATCGCTTTCTTCATTTAGAGGACAAAAGAAGAAAACAAACATAGAGAAGAAAAAAATATATAAAAGGACAAATTTCTGGGCCCCCACACCGCTGCGTCTTCAAATGAAAAAGTGTGGCTTCTGCCATGCTCGTCTAGTCCAAAATTTTGTCTCTTTTAACTATAGTTATAGATATACATTTTGAAGAATTAAAACAATAGCATTGCTATTCATACACTATTTCTTACACCAATACTTATATCGTATACACTGTTTACTGTATTTATATGGTGAATAGTATATTTTTTAAATAAAAAAATATATTTGTGAGCAGTGACCGTAAATAATTTTTTAAATTATAAAACAAAGTTGGTTAATAAAATATAAAAAGTTGGTTAATGAAGTGATGAAATTGATTAATAAACGCCCAGATATTAAAAATAGTTTTTAGTAGTAAAATAAAATTGGTTAATGAAAAATAAAAAGTTGGTTATTGAAATGATGAGGTTGGTTAATAAACTTTCAGATATTAAAAATATTTTTTAGCAGTAAACAAAGTTGATTAATAACATGTAAAATGTTGGTTAATGAAATTATTAAGTTGGTTAATCAGACAATTTTATATCAATATCATTTAATTTAAAAATAAAAAATAATAATTTTTATATATTTTTTAAAAAATATATTTAATATTATAATATTTTACTGTTCACTGTATTAATGAACAGTGAAATACGGTATAGGCATAAAAAATGATGTAAAAATATCATTTCTCTTAAAAACAAATCATCAAAAATTAAAAGTAACAAATATTTTATTTTCAAAGACGGAAAACAAATAAAAATTTATAACTTGCATAGCATAAAAGTATAGTGAAGCTTTTTAAATATCATAAAGAAGTATAGTCAAGGGGTGGTTTAAGGGTCACGATGGATTTGGCATATGCTTCCCCTTTCTTCCATTTTCTTGTGCTAGTAACATTCATTTCTATGCTACTATCATCATCAACAACAAAAACTTTGGCCAGTGATTTCTCAATCAAGGAAGCAACAGTGCAAGATCTCCAACTTGCTTTCCAAAGAAACCAATTAACATCAAGACAACTTGTTGAGTTCTACCTCAACCAAATCAATATCCAAAACCCAGTTCTCAAAGGAGTATTGGAAGTGAATCCAGATGCACTAGCACAAGCAGATAAAGCTGACAAAGAGAGAAGGGAAAAGGCAGCAGGTTCTCTATCAAGGTTGCATGGAATACCTATTTTGGTTAAGGATAATATTGCAACTAAGGATAAGTTGAATACTACTGCAGGCTCTTATACCCTACTTGGATCAGTGGTGCCAAGAGATGCAGGTGTTGTTACCAAGTTAAGGAAAGCTGGGGCTATCATACTAGGGAAAGCCAGTATGAGTGAGTGGGCACATTACAGATCTTTTGATATTCCTAATGGTTGGAGTGCCAGAGGTGGACAAGGAAAGGTATATAATTTACTACTTTGTTAATTGGAGATTGGTCTTGTTTTTCAATTCAAATATGAATGATTCTAGAAAATAAAGAGGATTTCACACCTGTGCTTTGTGCTGTGCAGAATCCATATACATTGGGTGAACCCTGTGGTTCAAGTAGTGGATCAGCAATATCTGTAGCTGCAAATTTGGTGACTGTATCGCTTGGTACCGAAACCGACGGCTCCATTTTATGTCCTTCCAATTTTAACTCAGTGGTAGGCATCAAACCCACAGTTGGTCTCACTAGTAGAGCAGGTGTAGTTCCAATTAGTCCAAGGCAAGACACTGTTGGGTAAGCCGATATACCATTTGTCTGCTTTTCTATTTTGTCCTATTTATTGTGTGTCACTGCACTAAATTTGTGACATCAACTATGTGGTTTTGTATAGGCCAATTTGCAGGACTGTATCAGATGCTGCCTATGTTCTCGAAGCCATAGCAGGCATTGACACTTTTGATAAGGAAACAATTGAAGCATCAAAGTATATACCAAAAGGTGGCTATGCTCAATTTCTAAAGAAAGATGGACTAAGAGGAAAGAGATTAGGAATAGTGAGTCTATACTACAATTTTGGAAATGACACTTTTCTGCATGAAACTTTCAAGCTACACCTAAAAACGTTAAGGTAAATAAAGTTTAAAACTGTTATTTGTCAAGTACTTATACTTCTAATGAAGCTTTAATAAGTCTTGTTTGTAAGTTATATTGTATTTGTATTCATTGTCTATTATTTTCTTAGGCCGCAAATATATTGAAGAGATCGGTACAATATTTTTTTCTTTGATGCCAATGAACTTATGCACAATCCTTTTGTAGTCGATTGTTATCATCAACCTGCAACTTGAAGTTTGATATAATTTGTGTATCATGTTGCTCTGTTATAAAAAGTTGTTGCTTTAAAATGCTGCTAATATCATGTCTTTGGTGTTCATGCATTAAACTACGTTAGAACTTAAAGATTGATAACATTGATGAAATTATCAGGCAAAGAGGTGCCATTTTGGTCGACAATCTGAAGATTGATGACATTGATGAAATTATGAATGCTCAAAGTGAAACTATTGCTTTGAATTTTGAATTCAAATTATCCTTGAATGCATACCTGAAAGACTTGGTTGCTTCACCGGTGAAAAGTTTGGCAGATGTAATAGATTTCAACAAGAAACACTCCAAATTGGTGAGTATATATGTGATTTTGTTGGATAATTTAAAAAGATATCATCTTATGGTTTTTGTATCAAAAATTGTAGGAGAAAGTTGATGAGTATGGCCAAGATCTTTTGCTGGCAGCTGAAAAGACAAATGGAATTGGGAAAGCAGAGAAACAGGCATTATTAAACATGACAAGATGGTCACAAAACGGGTTTGAGAAAATGATGAAAAGAAATAAACTTGATGCTGTGGTAACACCTTTTTCTTCCTTTAGTGGCATCCTTGGTATTGGAGGTTATCCTGGAGTGAGTGTTCCAGCAGGATATGAAAAGGGTGAGCCATTTGGAATTTGCTTTGGAGCTTTGAAAGGCTCAGAGCCTAAGTTGATAGAAATTGCTTATTCATTTGAGCAAGCAACTTTGATCAGAAAGCCACCACCCCTAAGGAAGTTGGAAGTTGAAAGTTCTTGGTAATGCAATGGATTTTTCTTTATGAAATGAATTAAAACATTGTTTCAATTTAACTCAGGTGGAATCTTTATTGTCATATAAGTGGTCTTTCCCAAAAGATTTAAGGTTTGTTTATTATCTCGTATCTTATGAGAGATTATTCTTTTAGAACACCTTCCATCCATAAGTTTTTTTTATCCAAGAACACCTTCCATCCCTAAGTTTTTTTTATCCGTCAAGCTTCGTCTCGAAGCAGTTCATCTAATTTTAATTTTAATAATGTAACTTTACATATCTTATATTAGATATTACAATTTATCTTATATATTAATATTTTATTTATATTAAATTTTTATTTTAGTCTAAAATATTAATTTAAGTTATTTAAATCAAATTTAATATAAAATAAAATATTTTTGTTTAAGAACTAAAAATGAATGTAGTTGAATAATTCATGATCTTTAACGGTGACTTTGATCTCTTTTTACGGCTGCGCGAGATGGACCTACATGATTAGCACTGCAACGTCTAAATCAGTTCAAAATTTAAGATGAGTGTAGTGAAAAGTTAAAATCAGATAATCTACCTTACTTTATGCATGTAAACTGATTTTATATTTTGGGTCAAATGGAGTCGATTTGAAATAAATTGGCCTTAGTTATTTTGGCCTTTGGCCTATCCATAACAATTTCTCCCAAGGATTTGTCGGACACTGAGCAACCGGGAGAAACCTTAAGTGATGCAGGCAGGCCTCCTAGACATTGTTCGATGTGAAACGGAACTGAAACGCATGTAATTAATTTAAATAGTAGTGGGGAATAAGTTCATTAAATGTGGTTCCATCATTAAAATGTAGTGCATGACACAATTTACAGTAGACTTAAATTGGTGTGCATCCAAAAAGGAGATATAGTCATTGATCCTATGACTTCTCTCTCTAATTGGTCTGAATCCTTCAGATGTTGTTGCTCAAAATAGGAGGAATTAAATGTTTGGAAGTTTCCACAACCTTTGATTCAAACTTATTGTTTCTTTTTTAGAAAACGTCTTCATTCATTCTTCTTTGAGTACTAGTAGAAGTGTTTTTCAGTTTATTCAAAGCCTTTGCCTTTCTTCCTTTTCTCCCACGTCATTAATTTCAAATAACCATGTACCATTCTGAATTCAATCTTTTATCCTCCGCATTTCATGTTTTCTAATTAGGATAAGTGATAGCACAGTTAACTTAATGGGCAATTTTGAGGGTGAAACTTCATGTGCCCCGAGGATGGGGACACCCCCTCATTCTATTCTTCTTTCTTCTGGTCGCAATCCTCTGGACCTAGAAATCATATCTCTATTTGATGACTTTAATTCAGAAAGAGTATATGAGAATTCCTTGGAGGAAGAGAATTCTTCATCTAGCTCATTAGAAGCCTTTTTAATCAAATTTTGATGAAGAAGTTACTCGCACTGAGGTCCTTATGTCCTCTTGCATATTATCTTATAAGGAGATATAAGTCAATCGGTAGAGGATAGAATGCACTAAGGGGTTATATTCAGCTTCGTCTTAGGACTGATAATTATGAGCGCAGCGACACTGAAGTGAAAGCTCATTTGAATTTTTGAGACCAGTATGATGCGTTGGAGTACAACTGGGCGGATACAAGAATAGTGGGCACTTCATCGGTTCTGAGTACTGAGGTTGTAACAAATGCGGCTGGAGTTATGGTCGGTAATCCCTCAGAATGGTCGACTTTTCCATTGGAGCCAAAAAAGAGGATATACATTTCCTTTGACGACTGTGTGATTCCGCTCTATAAGTTTCTGTTCACACGAGTTGGAATGTGGTTACCCTGGCAAGGTACACAAAGGAACATGCAACAATCACATTGGCAAAAAAGCCATCGCTCACAAGATATTAATGGCAGGATATTATTGGCCTACTTTGATGAAAGATAATATCACATTCATCAAGAAGTGTGACTAGTGTTAGAGACATGTTAACCTTCACCACGTCCAACATGAACTTCTTCAATCAATGACAACACCATGGCCTTTCTACTAGTGGGGTGGATATTTTGGGTAATTTCCCTTGGCACTAGGTCAACTTAAGTTCTTGATAGCTGGAATCTATTACTTCACAAAGTGGATAGAGGTTGAAGTCATCTCCAATATCACATAAGAAAGAGTTTTGTGTTTCTATTGGCACAAAATTATGTGGAGGTTTAGGCTTCCTGGAGCAATTGTCTCTGACAACGGAACACAATTTTCCAGTGTTATGGTTACATATTTTTGTCGAGATCTAGGAGTGTTGACAAAATTCATATCTGTAGTACACCCTCGGGTCAATGGGCAAGATGAATCGATGAACATGGTAATTTTGAAGGGACTCAAGAAGAAGCTTGATGATGTTAATGGCTTATGGACAGAATTACTACATGAGATATTGTGGCCATACAACACCACCCCATACTCCACCACCAAGGAAACTCCATTTATAATGGTTTATGGAGTAGAATATGTGCTGACTATGAAGATTGAAATTCCCTCTAGCGACGATCCCAATTTGATCAAGAAGCAAACAAGGTCGGACTGGAATGTGTGGCGAACCTGGTCGATAAATTGAGAGAAGTGTCCCATGTCCGAGAATTTGTCTACAAGCATAGAGCCGTCGGAAGATATAAATTCAAAGTCAAGCCAAGAGAGATGCAAGAAGGCGACCCAGTCTTAAAGAAAATGGTTCTACCCGCACAACAGAGAAAACTACAACCCAACTAGAAGGGACCATATTACATATTCCAAAAGTTTCCTCATGAAGCGTACTCGTTGCAGAAACTTGAAGGATAACTCTTTCCCAAACCTTGAAACGCTCCCCATCTTAAGTATTATTACAATTAAAATGTTGTAATTTCTTAAGAAACATAATCATTTATTTATGAATAATTGCTTAAATATTTATGACCAATAAGGATATTTTTCAATATTTTTTACGGAGGACTTTATGGCGAAGATCCTTGCTTCCCCTTGAGGCAATATTTCTTTATGTTGGATTTCATTGCGAAGATCCTTGTCGCCCCTTAAAGCAATAGTCTTTATGCTAGACTTCATGGCAAAGATCATTGTCGCCCCTTGAGGTAATATTTTTAACATTGGACTTCATGGTGAAGATTCTTAACACCCCGTAAGGCAATACTTTTTATGCTAGACTTCACGACGATGATCCTTGTCGCCCCTTGAGGCAACATTTTTTATGTTGGACTTCATGAAGAAGATCCTTGTTTCCCTTGAGAAAATACTTTTATGTTGAACTTCACAGCGACAATTTTTGTCGCCCCTTGAGGCAATATTTTTTATGATGGACTTCATTGCGAAGATCCTTGCCGCCTCTTGAGGCAATATTTCTTATGTTGGACTTCATGGTGAAGATCCTTTCCACCTATCAGGGTAATACAAATAAGCTATACAAAATTTCACCAGAGGGACTTATAGTCTCATCATTCAGGCTACACATAACTTCGCCTGAGGGATTTAGGGTTTCCCAAGCTATTTAAACTCTCACCTGAGGGACTTAGATTTTCCTCTGGCAGGATCGAACACTCAAATCTAGCCTAAGAGGTGCGATCGAAGTATATCCCAGGAGACTTAGTCATAAGTCTTATTTGAGGGCTTGATAGAAGTCCTTCCCTAAAGGTTCAGCGCATCTCTTAAGGGACATATAGTCTCATCAGCCAGGCTACATGTAATCTCATCTCAGAGACTTGGATTTCTCAGGCTATTTAAACTCTTGATTGAGGGACTTAGAGTTTCCTTGGGCAGGATCAAACATAAAAATCACACCCAAGATATGCAACTGAAATCTAGCCTAAGAGACTTAGTCACGAGTCTTATTTGAGGGCTTGATAGAAATCCCGCTCGAAGGGTCCAAAGCGTTTCTCGGAGGACTTATATTCTCATCAGTTAGGCTACATGTAATATCTCCTAAGGGACTTGGATTTCCCAGGCTATTTAAAATCTCGCCTTAGGGACTTAGAGTTTCCTCATGCGAGATCAAACATAGAAATATTGCCCAAGAAGTGCAACCGAAGTCTAGCCCAAGAAACTTAGTCATAAGTCTTGTATGAGGGATGGATAGAAGTCCTTTCCGAAAGGTCCAACACCTCACCTGAGGGACTTAGATTTCTTAGGCTATTTAGTTTCTCCATCCGGGGGACTTATAGTTTCCTTGAACGAGACTGAACAGTATAATTTTTCCTAAAGCTCCAGAGCCTAATTGGCCTAGCATGTCATATATCATCAGAAAACTTAGGGCCTCGGGATACTCCCCCTGTACCAAGGTTTAAAAACAATTCATACTCTATCAAGGACCTCGTGCTTGAGGGACTGTATAATGTTATATTTGTAAAAGACCTAGCAAGAGCAGCAACCATATATAAACCTAAGGAAAAGTGACGACCATGTGTCACCCTAAGGGAGATAATGCCTCCCCACAATGATTTCCTCTTGTTCAGTCATAAGAAACATGGGATAAGATGTTTCTTGGATACAGAGAAGTCATGGTCATTACTGACTCATGTCCTCTTTGAAAATACAGATTCAATTATCCATCATTGACTGAGTGGGTGGTGACCTTTCCCAAGAAAAACCTAGACCTAGAGCCTCTATAAATACCTCTCTCCCAATTGGAGAATGGTACATATCATAACACATACACTTATACCTAAGCACCAAGCATATACACGGAGCCTATCACCTCATGTGAGTAGGTCCTCTAAACCACTATAAACACCACACATATAATGCTTCTCGCCACCGTGGAAAATCTATAACCACCACAAATTATTATAAACCTATTAAGGCCTTTGAGTACCCCTGTTTTTGCAGAGGTAAGATGCACACATGTGCTTTTTCACTAGTACAAACTCCATATCGCCTCAACTTTGCATAAATTTTATGTTTATTCCAATCTTTCAGGAAATTTAAAAACATGTGCTTAAACTTATTTCATGAAAAAAAGGCATGTTTTTTATGACTAAAAGAGAAAA